GAATTACTAATCTGTTTAATGTGAAGAAACTTTGCAAACAAAGCCTACCGTACTCTATTTTTCTTTCTATTGATACAAAGAAGTTTTTTAGATTAAACTCAAGCTCTTGAATTGTCCTCATGTCCACAGTTAACTGTTTCAATTATGTATTAATAAATGTCGTTAATATAGATACATTTGCCCATTATGCTTGAGCATAAGACACAGGTTGAACTAGTTCAATTTAGTATCTGATTTGTTCACTCCATAAAATTATTGCTATTTGAATTGTCAATGATTTTTGCATATTAGAAAATCTTTGAGCACGAGGCTTAATTTTCAATGAATATTTGAAGAATAAATAAAACCATAGTAAAAGGTTATAAATATATGTATTCATAGGTTATCTTTTTACTAAACAACAAAAAATAAAGAATAGAAGTCATTCGTTTTAATTAGAGATCTACAGAGTTACTTTATCTTATCTTACCCTGTAGTGTTTTGCGGGAACAGTTTTTCTCGATTCCCGTGTCCCGTTCGTATAGTGCTATTAGAATTCCTATTACGACTTCCACTAACTTCTGTCACTATCGAACTTAGCACGATGTAAGGTGGCGTTAAGTTAAAAATAAAATTATCAGTGGAGTTATATTTCAGTTAAATACATTAGTTATTATTTATAAATCGAATTTGTCAACTCTAAGTTAAGAGAATTCATTTTCCTCATCAATGGAACAATCGTAAAAAGAAAACAAATATTACTATTACATCAATAGTATTGATGAAAAAACGACATGATTCAAGAGGAGAAGACTAAGAAAATTCTATATTACAAGATAATTTGAATAATAAGTCTTTTGAACATGATAATCACAAAGAAAATGTGATGGTTTTGATAATTAAACGAATAATCAATGAACTCGTCGGATTTTTGCCGATTAGGATTTGTTATTCTCTTATTAAATAATAAGCAATGTGAAAGTCTTTGGAAGAATGTCAAAATGTATTTCTCAACAGTGTAACACCAGATTTACTTCGACATTTCTTCTTTGAAAAAGCAAAGTTCTGAGAATATATAAATAAAAAAAAAGGTTTTGCGAAACGTCCATTTTTTATGAGGACTCCCGATTATTTCAGGAAAAAGCTCTTTCCTTGTAGGCCATTATTTATCTGCGCATCCAAAGTGTAAATAAAAAATTCGTTCTTTATTGATTTACTCGATTGTCTTGACATGGACATTTCATAAGTTAAATGATTCTCATTTAGTTAATCATTTAAATACAAATCTGAGAAGATGACATTGAAAAATATCAATTATTATAATTTTTAATAAATGATTCCGCTTATATTTATTTTTATATTGAAAACATACTTATTTTTCGAAAAATCGCAAGTTTTATATCAATTGTAATTTCTTTACATATAGAAAATCAGAGATACCAGTTCAATATCAACTAATAACAATGATGATGATGATGAAAATGATACTAAAGAAGAACAAAATTCGCCATCATCTGAACCAATAGCTTGTCATTCTTCATCGCAAAAACGATCACATTCACCAGAACCAGCAATAAATTCTGATAAACATAAGAACATTAAAGTTGAACAATCAGTAGCTGATTCAAAGAAAAAAACGTCAACCGTCAGTAATATGAAGAATAAAAACTCGAGTAAAACAATAGTGAATATGAACAATTGTTCTTTCTTTAAAAACAAGCCTTTGGATCAATAGTCAATAGTATAAACGTGTTCGGCGTTAAAAGTATCACCAAACTTTTAAAATTCTATAAGAACTACTCTCTTGTTTACACAAATACAAAGTAAAATCTTTTTTTTCTTCATTTTCTAAATTATTTTTTAGTCACGAATAAAAACTGATTTCAACTTGGCTAACAAAGAAAAATCTATGACTAACTCTTTTTGAAAAAATGTAAATTAATAATATAAATGTTTTTACATATTCTATTCTTATTCATTGGTGGAATGTTCGAAACCGATGAAATTCTCTATCATGCAACAATTCAATAGATTTCAATAAGTGAAATAATCAATATATCATGTATTTAAAATGTATACTATAATCTACTGAGGTATGCATAATAATGGGTGGACCAGGTTGAATGACCGCGCTTTATATTGTAATTTTTTATCATTTAATGCGTTCTATTAAAAAAACAAAATAGACCAAAAGATGCAGCGTGAAAAGCTCTACAATTTACATAGAGCAGGTTTTTTATAGTTGGTCTTTTTGCTTTCAAAATGAACGAAATTTTAAGTGATCAAATTTCGACCGTGCGAAAATTGATCGCAGAGAATTTTGCTTTTTTTTGAAAACAATTACAATAAGCTTTACTGTGTAAATTGTAGAGGTTTTCTCGCTGCATCTAGTGGTATATTTGTTTCTTTTTTTCAAAATAAAAGATACCAGATGATAAAAAGATGAAATAAGAGAGACGAATCCATCTTGTACAAAAAAAATTATCACTGTCGCACGGTCGAAATTTCATCGTTCAACCGATTTTGAAAAAAAAAGTGTAACTATAAAAAAATCAGTCGCATGTAAATTGTACAGCTTTTCACGCTGCATCTTTTGGTATATTTTGTTTTTTTTTGAAGAAAAGATTTTAGGTCGTAAACAAGAAAAAACGCATTGGTCGTGTATTGAAAAATGATTTTTTCGCAGCCTCGAAATTTGATCGCTTAAAATTTTGACCACTTTGAACGCAAAAAGTGCAACTATGAAAAAAATGATCCAATGTAAATTGTAGAGTTTTTTACGCTGCATCCTTTGGTATATTTTGTTTTCTTTTAATACAACGTATTAAATGATTAAAAATTACAATATAAAGCAAGGCCATTCAACCTGGCCTACCTGTTATTTTATTGTACCCCATTGTTGGCTTATTTTATTTGATCAATATAAAATAAAAACAACCTTCACACAACAGATTTAATTTCATAAATATTAATATTTTTCTTCTCTGAGTAGGCTTGATTACTTTCTAAAAAAACAATACTATTACATGTCAAAAAAAATCAGGAGATTAGATCATTTCTATGCTTATATGTAAAAGATGCAATCTAATCTTCATTATTCTTATCCACATGCTCTTTTTTTTCAAAATTTTATCACGTTATATCCTTTATTCTTATGAATTGCTTCATGCTGTACAATTGAAAATTTGTATTTATCAATAGGAATTTCGTTAAGCCGAACGATGTACAGGATTCGAAATGAAATATTCTCAAAAAAAAAACAATCACGAACATTATTTTGAAGTAGATTTAACTTGAATTGTTTGCTTTTTAAAGATTGTATTGCACAAAAACAAGTAAAATTGACAATTATGTATTTTACAAGAACATACTCATAAAATTTTTTATTAATATGATACCTGCAAAATACGATCTAAGACGAGTGTTGAAATATAGGGATAGAAATTTGGCCCTGTTCCTTCGTCCCTACAGATGGTGACAGGTACGTTAACAACCATCTACACTCACCACTGGCCTTATTACAAATCTTAGTATTGCTGCTTTTCCCCACTCACTGTGACATACGATTGAATTGAGCAAATTTATCGTTCATCGTCTTTTCTCACTCATCCTAACATGAAATGCGCATATCTTCAGCACAAGTTAACAGAAAATAACAATTCAAAAACTGAAATATATGTTCATGAACTCTCTCGTTCATAATTTAAGCAATGTTATCATGTTTCAGATTTCAATCACATACAGATTGCGGTCCTTGCTTTATTGATAGAAACAATAAACGTATGCGAAACATTATCGCTCATACGTCCGAGAGTTAACAAAACATACTTTGACTCATGTTCTGTCGTCTTGTTTTACTCCACTATTGCGAAAGAAAAAACAATCATCAAAGGATGACTTATATTAATCATTTGCAGTGTTAAAAGTTTCGTTTATGGAAGAGTGATATTTTTGTTTGATTTTTCACTCTTACTTTTGCAGCAGTGTAATAAAAAACAACAATCAAAGAGAAGTTGCAAAGAAAAAAGAATTTTCGAAACAAATGAGACATACATAAACAATCTTGAAAAATGGAGCATGTTGCTATTGTTTTTATTGTGCGAACTTTTTTTTGTCGCTGAAAAAATTATTTTTTACTTGGAAAAATTGAAATAACTACTTCACAGATTCATCAATCAAAGCACAGTAAAAAATATGTCATTGTTTAGTCTAGTATTTGATAAATGTAATTTACACAACAGAGCCTGGAAAAAAACCTGTTGGTGCAATCTCTACGAGTAAAAATGTGCAATATTATGTAACTATTGTTTCTAATCATCGGCAAATTGTTTTATTTCAGACAGATTTCTTCATTATCCTTTTATTTAATCGCCTATAAATGTAATAAGAAAATAGTTTATACATTATAAAAAGACTGTGCTGATGTGCGGTATTTGATCGAATATCAACAGCGTCTATATAACAGTTAGAATATCTTGCAAGTATCTGTGACGAAGAAAGGGAGCATACATAAGGCGTCTGTCACAATCTGTGATTGAATAATAATAACGTCTATTATAGTCTGTTACGCGAGAGTGGCGGAGTAGTGCTTAAATGTCTGTTACGGTCTGTCAATCTCATCTCCCATGGTCTCTAACGCTCCATAGTAATCATCTGCCATAGTTCATGCCGTTTCATGGTGATGTCTATTATGATCTATGATGAGTACAAATTTCTACCTTATAAATGTCAACACTTTCTTTAGGTCGTGTTTCACAAAACAAATTTCTACAGGGCGACTATCTTGCAGCTAGATAAAAAACTGAATCAGAGTTCAATGTGGAACTTTTTTTATGAAAATAGTTCTAGAGAGGTCCCATGTGCACAGATATTTTTTTCTTTCTTCCAATATGATTGCCGTAGTCGGACATTTTTTTGATTCTTTTTCATGTCACATAATATCAACATAAGACAAGATGTCAGCAGAGATCGATCAAATCATATAAATTATTGCTTACACATACTATTGTATAATCACTTTTATAATAGTAAGATGAAAAACCAAAATAAAATGAATTAATTCTTGTTTCTAGAAATAAAACAGTTAATTTATGAAAAATTCATTGGTTATCCATTATTTATATTCAATTATATGGATGGGATCATATGCTTATGCTTCTTCATTTTTTCTTTCTGTCATTTGTCTTTCTCTGCTCTTTCCTTTCACCTATAAACAATTGTCAATGCTCTGTATTATCAAAATTTATTTTTAGATCGGCAAAAAAACAAAAGTACGAAATGACCGATCGTGATGATACTGGCGAGGTCTGATAATAATATTTCTATATATATATATACATTTCAAAAATTAACCTATAAATAGATTGTTGAAATTGATTTTGAAGTTGGACATGTATCAATTATTCGACCAGAACCAACAACAATTCATAATCCACCACGTACACATGATTGGACAGTTTATTTACGTTCTGCTGATGTTCATGGTGATTTAAATTGTCTTATTCAACGTTGTATATTTTATCTTCATCCAGAATATCCCGATCATAGACGAGGTTAGAATATATATTTATCATTAACAAAAATATATTCATTTCGTAAATCTTATTCAGAATTTAGATCAACACCATTTGCTATCAAAGAAACTGGTTATGCTGGTTTTCATTTGGTAAATTGTTTTTATTTTTTAACGTTTGATTTTTATAATGAATGATATATTTTTTTTTTTGTATGTTTAGCCAATTGATATTTTTTTCAAAACAAGAAAAGAACCAAAAAAATTTCGTATTGAATATGATCTTGATTTACATACGAATGTTGAAGGTCATCCACATA